CCCCGAGCTACGCGAGAAACGAGCTTGCGCGCAAAAAGGATGCGAAGCCGACTGGTTTTCACCGAGTTCTTCGCGTTTCGGCTTTTCGCTCGCTTCTAAATTGTCGCTCTCCAAAAACTGCCGTGATAGAATATATCGATTGTTACGTAGCCGAACAGTCGAGCAATTAGGCTTAATCGCGACTTTTAATCGCAGAGAAATTGATCGCTACGAGTCGAGTCTCGAGCTTCGATGGCTGGCGGTAGGCTAACAAATATACCGAACGATTCGCTCGACTGCGGTAATTGCGGTACGAATTAAGCAGAATACCGTGTGCACCGAACGGGCCATGGGAACGACCTCAAACCTAATACCGTTTCCACTGCTTGATTTCACCTCCTGTCTCTCCGACACCGTCACGTGCAGCCCCGCTGTTACGGCATTACGCCCACGCAACTCGCTCGACTATGCACGTGCTGATAGAACTGTTATTCCGCGGTAAGGAAGCCAACTTAACAAACAATTGCGCGAGTCAAACGTTTTTCCTATTTATTCTAGTCGCTGGAAATTGTTTAAAAGCCCTAAAACGGCTGTTGCAATTGGTTAACTCGACGATCGTACTCTAGATCGCTGAACAGTATACGTTCGATTCGGTTGTCTAGCCTCCGAGAGTGTTCGTTCTGCTTGAACGTCCTCGTTATAATTGTTTAAAATTGCTTCGAAATAAATGAGCGCGCATTCGCGTAATATTCGCTTCGGTTTCGGAAGATAAATTTACGCGGGACCGACGCGTCGTACGAAATAAAATGCACCTCCTCGGTAAGCGATACTCGCATTTGCGTAATTTAAAAGTCGGATTTCTGAACGGCATGGAACGCGTTTCTCCAGACTCTCGACGACGGTTCACAGGCGCCAGTCGAACAAATTAGCCAGAGTCTTCGATTAATTTTACCGGAGGCGATGGATCGAAGCTTCGCATCTTTTAACATCCGAGTCGACGAAATTCTCTTTTCTCGCGATTGTTTTGCCTAGAAAATCCGTGTACTGTTCGTATCGGGCTACGTTTCCGATATATTAACGTAGCGTCGCAGCGATCTTTACGGGATTCGTTTTATAATAACGCTCGAATTCTTAAATACGATATTAAAACTTGGCCAGAGTGCGGAGATACTTTTTTCGTATACTGTACGCGTCGTTCGAAGTTACCGAAAAAGCACATAAAATTACGTAATTGGTAATCATTACGACGCCGTTTATAAATTCAGGCATTCGTTAAATTATACGGGCCGCGTTAACGTTCCTGGGCGTAAGCGTATAAACTTGCCAATCACTTTAATTAGATGTCACGCGCACGTAAAACGCTCGAGCGCGTAATTGCAGTTCGCTCGTCGGCCGATTCTTATCGAAGCGATGCTTGTCGCATTTTTCACCGCCACTCGCGAATCTTCCTCTCCTTTTAATTCGTCGTTGGTTGTTATCGTAACTAGTCTAATCACGATTATCGTATCGCGATAGGCCTAAACGAATTATCAATTTTCGTAGGATCGCTCGTGTGACTAACGCGAAACGAAACGTTACAAATTAATATTCCGCGTTAAACGCGAACGAAACATGCGTTCACGGATCCAGAAGTAACTCGTTCGTAAACTGTTGATAATCTTCGTTAACGTATTAATTACACGGTGTAAAAGCGTAACAAAGAATCCGAGTGAATCCTTTCGTTCCGGACAGCCCGCAAGCTTGCATGACGTCGTAGCTACAAAAGGGATTGACGTTCGCGTACGTGGCACGCATCGGTGTTTACTTTGTACGCTCTTTGTTCGTATTGCGGATCGCAGTGTCCCGTGTATCGATCGTTCGAACTCGATCCGTTCCGTGGAATCGATTGTTCGCGGATTTTCTTGCCGTTACGAAGAAAGATCGAAGCAACCGGGTATTTTAGCTTTCGATCGTTCGAACTCGTTCGATGGAAGTTGCACGGTAGCCAGAAAATCGACGAGAGCCGAGCAGCTCGTTATCGTTTCATCGCGAAGCGTCTTTTCGAGTAAACTTGTACGACGCGGTTAACACGCGTCGTTCTACGCGCAATATTTCGAATACGCAAAACGTAGGAAATCCTGACACGGCGAAACGGTGAAACGGTGAAATTGCACCGTCAATGTTTGCTCCGAGCGTTATCGTATCGCGTAACAACCGCATAGTTCCAGCAACCGGCCACGCGAAAGCGCGAACGTTACTTTTTATTATGTTTCGTGTTAAACTGCATCTCGTAACAGCAACAAATCGCATTGTGCAGACGAGAAACTAAGACGAGAAACGAGGACCATTAAAATACCAGGTTAATATCGCGAAGACCGGTAACCGGCAGCGACTCGCGTACTGTAAGGTGTGCCACGATATTTGTTCACCCTGCATCGTGAAATCGTCCTACGAGTCGTTATTTCTCTCCTTCTTACGCCGTAACATTATTAATCCTTATTCTTAATGTATGATCCTTAATATCCCGTTGGTAATCCATATTATCGTATATCCCATTAGGCATGGCTATTTATACGTACACTGTACCTGTCAATCCGTTATCGCGTAATGGAACCGGATTTGTACGAGCGGTATCGCTTTATAGGGGTTCGAAGAACCGAAAGAATTTGGCAAATTCCTTTTCGATCCTGTGAAACTTTCGAGCAGGTTGCCGCGTGCCGCGGTGGTCTCTTCGTTTCGCGCGCAACTACGAAAAACTTGTCACTATCCTCTTTTTCTTACGAAATAACTGACGGATACGATTACGAAGAAAATCGAAACATTGACCCGGTAGTATTATATAATTCGATAAACTTTTCGGGTGGCGAGACAGCGAGATGCGAGCACCGACAAGGATCGTTCGATAATATTTGGAGAGATCTCGTAATCGACGAAATTATACGGTCATCGTTGCGTGGGCGTCAGCCAGCGGTTTCCAAACAAACCGCGCATGCCACCTATGGCGAATCCTCGGGATTATTTTTTCAAATGATCGCGATCCAACGCGAAAGAACGCCTGGCAAATGTTAGCAACCTCGCCTCGATGACGTCAGTCCCTTGTCTCTTCGCGATCGCGTCGATTCTTTTCGCAACGGGCCGCTTCTTCTTCGTCCCGTTTCCGTTTCGACTCGCGCTTCTATTTCTTCTCTTATTCAAGTATTTGCGTATTTTCGAACGAAACGAAACGAAAAGAAAAGAGAACGTTCGATTTCGCTTACTTCGAAGTAACAAAGCGTTTCGACGTCGCGTCGGAAGAACTGGTCGTGAGAATTCGTGGAGAGCAGGAGAATCCGAAGGCGAACGAAATGACAGAAACGAGCTTTAAATTAAGTTGTTCGCCAGGATTTCTTCGAACGCTAGCCGGCTTATTAACGAGCAAGCGAGCTCGGCTTGTGTATCGACGATGTCTTAACGAGCTTGTAAGAACGGCTGAAATCACCGATATTTAACACCTCGTTCGAGTTAACGCGGTAACGCGCGGAAACGATCTTATCGATCCCTGTTGAGAACGTTCGCGATTTCTGGTTCGTTGATTAAAGCGACATCGGAATAAATGTAGTCCCAGCGCTGCGTGACGATCGCTCGCGTACCAACCTGATCGTAGATAAACACGCTCGATCCTTAAAGCGTATTACGCGTTAAGTATCGTCGTTGCACCGCGCATCCTTCGCGCCTTCGTTCACGGTTCGAACCTGCTTCCTTTCATCGATTTCGTCTCGATCGCTCGCTCGCCGTTTAACGATTCGTCTGGAAACTGGGTCGATCGGTTTTCCGTAATTAACGGAAAATATGATCGTAAAAAGTGTGCTCGCGCGAAACGCTGATATTTCGAGAGAAAAAGAATTTGCTTCCGTTACGGCTACGAGATGATTGGTACGATAGAGGGAACGTGGCCGATCGGTTCCCACAGATCCGCGGCAATATCTTATTCCAGAAGATGTAGCTACACCGGTTCTAAGAGTATAATAAACGAATAGGCGTTGATCGCGTGTTCGGTAGAAAGTATAAAAGGCGCGGAAACGGTGTTAGAATAAATAAATCTAGATTCGCGTAGATATAGTGGTATATGTGCTCGACGAAATACGAAATTGTTCGTTCGATGATATAGGCGTAACTCTTAATGAACGAATATTTCTGGCAAGCAGCGTGGCTCGGTTTTTTCGTTCGTTATCCGTCGCGCCAGCTGGACGGAGAATAGCTGTTCGTTTAAACGCGCGCTGTAACGAAGCAGCTTAACGAATCGCAAAGTATAGTTATTAAAAGAGAGAAGAGGGGAGTTGGTTCGATCGAGCAGCCAGGCGACAGGCAGCAACGATGATTTTCGATTTCGCAAGCTCGCACGGGGGATCCGGATCCTCCACGAAGAAGGTGTTGCGGAAAATTAAAAGGGTCCCTGCAATCCCCTCGGCCCGTCGCCCTCGACCATCGTGGCCGGGGATCGGCCTGGAATTTGAATATGCATAAAAAGCAGGGCGATTGCGTTTTAACTCGTGAGACCAGTTCACGGCGAGGAGTTTTAATTGCCGGATAATAATTTAAAGGAGGCGTCAAACAGTGAAATATAACCTTCGCTCGTTATTACAACGTTGCCTCGAGCCGATTTTGTGTTGTGGACCACCGCAGCCACCGGTTTTTGCCCAGCCTCCTTGTCGCTCATCGTTCGATTGAAAAATATTGCTCGAATTTAATCTAACCACGAATACGACGCATACTTTGTTCTCGTTTTAGGTTGATTCGACACCGGGATGTTAGACAAAGATTCGAGAAGAAACGATATCGTTCGAACGGTTGTCTCACCTCCTTAAATTAACGATCACGTCTGAATCGAACGGAGAGATTCTTCTCTGTTGGTTCGCGTCTATATCTACGTATACATAAGTACATATATTTATTTATTTCCGTGTAGGGGTCGATCGTCGCTCATTGGCTCGAAGAAGCGCTGCAAGATATCGGCATCGGCGTGCCGGTTTCCACGGGTGTCCAGTATACTTCTTTCTCGCGCACAATAAGATATTTATCGTCCGCGTGGATGGAAGTCGAGGCCGTGGCCCGAGTCCACCGAAGTCACCATTGTATCTACCGGGGAGTGATGTATGGCCGTGGAATTGGTAGGAATTGAAACTTGTTACCGCCGCGAAGAGGAGATACCGGCGAGATTTAAGCCCTGTCCTTGTACCGCCGCCGTCCAAGATAACAGCCCCCTTTTGCGAAGCCAAGCAATTGCTGTGCCGCGTCCCATCGCGTCCCATCGCGGCCACTGCATCGATTCCTTGCCAAAGCTCCCCGATAGATGCTGCTCTCAAACTTGAAACCTTCGGCAAAAAAATCTAACGAACCTGGCTAATCTCTCTTACTTCGTTTCCATCGTTTGTATTGTTTCTATTGTTGCGCGTAGAATGTTACGCGTATCTGTCCGTCCCGCGTTTCGAGGATGTTAATAATCTCGTGACATCGAAACGTAATCTCGATTTACGTTATCCGAATCGATTAAAAACTACCTATCTCTCGCGTTGCACGATTCTCGTTTACGAGCTTACCTCGGCTTCCACGAATCTACCAAACGCGTTCGACGAGCATCCAGATTTCGTGTTCTCGAGTAAATCGAAAGGGCGGAGATGACGACGATAACGATCCTAGCGGCAAAGTTTAGACGTCGAACGAATTCCGCCAAGTTGGCTGCACGCTCGCAAAAACTGTATGGTCAGGTCGTGTAAACGGAAGTGGCGAAAGATTATCGTCGAATCGACGAAGCTCCGTGTGCGGTACACCGATCGGCCACGGTAAAAGTCGCCGATAAGGGAAACGTGACCGGTTGACAGAGATAATTGCTACGTTGATTCCTATCCAAAATCGTTTCTCTCCGCGCGGCGGAAATAAAATTCGATTGTGTAGCGTACACGAGAGTGGAATATCTATAGGAGAGGGTGGGTAGGAGAATCCTGACAATTTATTAAGACGATCGAAGGCGATAAGAGGCGAGGGTCCATTCAATGGAAGATCCTGCTCGATTTTCTTTTTTTTCCCCTTCCGTTCGATTCCGTGGATTCGATAACGATCCTCTTTCTCTTTCATTTTCTCTTTCACGAGAATCGTTCGTGGTACATTAAGGTCGAAGTGGAGGAAATTTGTACGATCGGTCGTCGTTATAGATTCGAAACGAGCCTCTTTCTTCCTTTCATTTTTTCTGTTTTTTACTTTTTCTTCTTCTCCCTCCTCTTCTTCTTCTTCTTCTTCTTCTTTTTCTACTTTGTCGTCGAGGTCTTTTCTCGGGGACCATCGTTCTTGGATAAAGATGACCGTCTCTTATCGATCATCGCGTCGGTAAATTAACATCGTAATTCGTCGTTGTTTCGTCGAAGTAACGGGTTAATCTGTACGTCGTTCGTCGGTTATAATAGCCTTTTCGAGTACGAATTAATCGGGATTGATCGCGAGGAAATGTACGGACAATAAAAGAACGTTGTTCTCTCCGCGAAAGGTCGTTACGTTAGTTTTACATCGTAGTTCCTTTATCTACGGTACGATCATAGTTACGCGCGATTCGTACGAAAGGAAACGAAAAATTCCATTCAGCTTATTACGAAACTCGAACAACGAGTAGTAGTTGATCGCTAGTTTAAATAACGCTTTGTACGACTCGTCCACGGTGAGAGTCATCGAAAGTGGACGTGACGGGACGGTAACGGAGAACCTCGTAAAAATTAGTCCGTCTCTAATCCGATTATCGAACAGAATCTCAGTGTTTCGATGATAATCGAAATGCGAATGAACTTTCTCCGTTGAGGATTTTACGAGGAGCCTCGTATCTCGTTAGAGATTTTTATGTCTCTCGTAATCTTGACCGATTCTACTCGCGTACAGACTTGTTCTTTTTCTTGCGTTCGCGACGGTGAAGTCCGTGAAAATTTCTTCCCCATATTAAGTGGAACGTTGTTGCGAGGAAATTTGAATCGTGTAATAAATATATTTAAAACGGTACATCATTTATCTTTCTCGCGTTTCGTCGTATTTTATGCTTGTTCGTAACATTGTAAAAGAGAAAGCTCGTGTTTCCTTGGTAGGTAGGTATATCATGACCCAAAAACCGCGTGGAAAAATCGTAACGAGTTTTTTGATAATATATTACGATAAAAACGTTGAACGATTCGAGATTCCTTTTCGCTCGCTAATCGGAACGAACGTTCAGAAAAAAAGGTTAAGAAATTTATCGATTAAAATCTATTATACGCGTTTCGTGATAGCGTATTTTCTGTATTCGTCGTTTCGGTAATCGTCCGTTCGAAAAGTCGCGCGGTAATCGCGCGTAGGCAGAGTTAAAGCGAATCGAGGCACCATGCTGCGGCCACGCTAACATCCCACCTCGAGGGGTTGTTCCGTCACGATTTACCCACGGGGTTCGAGGCGGTCCGCTTAATTAGTAATAATTAGTAATTACTCGGCATTGGTCGAGCGTTGATCAGCGAGGGCAATTATCGCCGCTAGGCTACCGAACTAATCGGCCGTACTTCTGCTCTCGCTGCCTACCTATCTACCTCTCGTGTTCCGAGTTCTGAGCACAGTCTTAGCGACTGACTAATTAATTAGAACCTCTACCACCTTCTCTTTTGCCGCCTGCCTGCTCGGTAATTAGCGAGCCACGATTAGTCATCGAGGCGATCAATTTGTCACGGACCGGGCCCCCGAGGCTGTACGTTCGTGGCCGTTTTTGAACGCTCCTGTTTCGGTTCGTTGTTCAAGAATCGAACGACGGGTTGTACCATTTAACGAGGTGCCGTGCCACCCCGCGATTTTCCTCTACCTTCTTTATCGCGTCTTTTTCGTGCTTCGGTTCAACTTGTCTGTACTATCGTCCGTTGGCGTATTCGTACGATCATCTGTTTCGATGGCGATTCTCGTACTGAAAATCGATCAATCTTACGAACGAATTCGACGCAATAATTTTTCGCGATAACGTGTCGGCACGTACGCGTTCCGTTCGACCTTTTCATCTCCACGTGGGGGTTCCGTCCGACAGGGTTGTCTAGTAAAATAGTAAAATATCGCCGCGGCGCGTTTTTTATCGTGATTTTACGAGCCTTAAAAGTAGTCGGGATATCGACGCTATGTCCCTATCGTACAGACTCGCGTTTAAACCGTGACAAATGTCACCACCCACACCGCAGATATCTAACCGCGTCTGTATCGTGTCCACGACAATTTCGGATAAATTCCGTCTACTTACAATAGTCCGGCTACAATGGATCAGACATAAATTTCAACGTTTCTCCGAGAAAAAGATGCCACTGGTCAAGCGAACGCGCGAGACTCGATAAGCGAAATTCTTTCTTCTTCTTTTTTCTTTTTTTATCCTGTTTATTTTATCGGCAGAATTCCGCTCAGCTGGAAAATTTATACGGGAATAGCGCGCGTGCGAGCAGTCGTGGAATCCAAAGGCATTTTTCGAGGTCGAATCAATTTTTGCGCGACACGTTACACGGACAATAAATAAATAAATAAATAAATAAATAAATAAATAAATAAATAAATAAGAGGGGAAAAAATGTTGTAGGGCAAAGATGTAAAACGGCGGGTCGTTGTGTTCAGGTTAAATTAATAGCACGTTCGGTTCGTTTCGACGCTCGTTTTCTTCGAAATTTCAATTAAGTACCGAGTAGTATTCCGGTAGGAACGATGTCGGATTCATCTCGGACGTAAAAAGCCCGTTAACTCGATAGGAGAGCCGTTTAAAGCAGTTTCAGCAATTTGTTCCTATCTAAAATCTGACCAAGAGTCGCATCGAAATAAACTGTGCAGTAATACGAGTGAACGACGAGCGCAACAAGCGCAACGGGTGCAATAGAGGTGTTTCGTTTACGAAAACTTGTCGAGATAGTATCTCGAGGTCTTGTAGTGTTCTTTTCGAGCGACCGGATTCGAGACCGATTCGAAGCGCGTCGATCGATCGTTCCCTGCAAAGCATCGCGTCACGCCGCTTTCGATCGCTACGAAAGTTTTTTTTTTTTTTCTACGAGTCGTTTTACTACCCGACGGATAGCGCTAATAACCCGTGAACATTTTCGAGCCTTTTACCGAACGAATCGGCACTCGTTTGATCACGATTAATCAAAACCCGTATCGTGGTTCGTTATCGTGGTTAATTCGCTGTCACGACGGAGTAACGGATCCCCTGTAACACAGTATTTCGTCGACCGAGCAATGCCATATTTCGTTCAGTAATTTCCTATTAATTAATTTATTATCGTAAAAGATTGCAACCTGTTACCACGCATTCCGCGTATTGCCGCGTGTCCTTATTCATAGATCGTTCACGAATTCACCCGTTACGTCGAAAGTGTCGAAAAGAAACACTTGTTCGCTGTTTATGGAACTTGTTATCTTAACAGTTGCATAAATTGATGACCAGGCATAGGCACACGAGTATGGTCCGTAAGGGTGCGCGAACCAGAGAAAGTTGAAATCTTTTTCGAAGAACTTCAGGTTTCAGGGCTCAAATTTCATGTACCATATCGACCAAGCACATCCTATTTATATATGAATAAAGATTCTATTTTATGTCGTTGAAACGTCAACGACGCGTTAAACGTCGAGAAACTCGCGTAAACGTTCGGTCGAAGCACCTCTTCGCCGAATAGGAGAATTATCTTACGCTCGTAAACGAACAATCGTTTTTCCACCTTCGCGAATCGAGATCCATGGTTGTCCGAGCAAGCGTCTCTTCCACCCACGATCGCTCCTTCCTTTTTCTGTTTTTCTTCCTCTCCGCTTTCTATCCGTCTTCCTTGCTCGGTCCTGTATTACCCAAGATATTCGATAACGCGAAAACAAATGTGTTAATAGGGCCGAGGTAGGTAGCGCGTTATTACCGCGTGTCTCTATGGATCTATAAAGTAGCTACAGCATCGAGATAGCATCGAGGTATACGCTCCTGGTATCGATATGTACGTGCCAGGTTAGATTAAATCGCGTACACGCTGCCTGTTCTACCTTTCTACGATATCGGTTACTTCCTGCTATAATTGTAAATTTCGACGTTTCTTCATTTCGTTGCTCGTTATTATCCGTTTTTGGGTTATCTTTGCGAGAGATTAATTCGATTCGTCCAATCGCG